CGACGATAATTACTCGGCGACTGCAAGCAGTTTTTTGTCATAGTAGGTTGCGGTAGGTTAAGGTACTACTGGCGGATGTCGCGCATGCTTATTAGCGATTGGTCGCGGGAGGCGAGGAGGGGCGCAGACCTCCAGCGAAGATCGTATAAATTAAACGCATGATCGATGATGCAATCAATAAGTCTGCGGTTATCAGCGATTATCAATAAGCCCGAAGAAGATATGGCAGCGTACACAAATCAAGAATACTACGACATGCTGATGGCACTTGGCGAGTGTCACGGGCAGCAGAATCCTACTGCAAGAAGATACGCCGAATTATATCCAAACTGAAGACATCCATCGGGTCATGTCATACTTGGAGCAGCTCAAAGACTATACGAAACTGGCAGTGTCCTGCCGAACAAACACGACGCTGGGAGAAATCGCGGCGTTAGAAATGTACGGAACACAGAGAGAGTTATACGTACTTTCGAGGATAATCCCGAAACGAATATTCGGGTAGTCGCTCGAGAACACGATTTATCCTATACAACCGTACAAAGAATATTAAAAGAAGAAAAGTTGCACGCGTTTCATTATACACGCGTGCAGCATTTACGACCAGCAGATTACCCTACAAGACGAACGTTTTGCGAAAATTTTCTGCGAAACGTCGATCGAGATCCCAGATATTCCTTTCGTGTGATATTCAGTGATGAATCGCTATTCACACAAGAAGGAATTTTTAATGTCCATAATATGCACTTTTGGAGCGAAGAAAATCCAAGAGTCACGCGATTACGAAATTTTCAAACTCGTTGGAAGATTAATGTATGGGCTGGAATAATGGGCACTGAAATGCTTGGTCCAGTTATTCTTCCAGACATTTTAACTGGAAGAACCTACGTCGATTTCTTAACAGAAAATCTACCACATTTCCTGGAAGATGTGCCATTATTTGAAAGAAACGATATTATCTTTCAACAAGACGGTGCTGGGCCACACAACGTCAGAATCGTTACGAATTACTTAAACGAGAATTTTCCTGGACGGCCCGATACGTTGGCCCGCAAGATCTCCGGATCTCAACCCTCTAGATTTTTTCTTATGGGGATACTGTAAGGAAATAATTTATAAAACGCTTCCCGAAAATATCGAAGATCTAGAGACAAGATTACGATTTGCTATTTGGGATATCGACGAAGAAATAATGGAAAACGTCGAAAGAAATTTATTAAAACGCATGAGAGCTTGCGTTAGGATGGATGGCGAGCATTTTGAGCATCTGCTCTAAAATTTTTTTAAACAATCCGCTCTTTTCAGAGCGACCAATATATTTTCACGTTGGAATATTTTATTGTGAGCAGAATAAAAATAAATTTTCCCAAATGTAATTTGTTAATTATTCTTGCGATTGACTTAAATCTTCGCATCGTGAATGCAATAGTTTCGAAAATGTAATAACGTATAACACATGCTTTTTAAAATAATAATTATTTATTATGATTAAAAATAGTTATTATTTATAATAAATAATTAATTTTTTTAAGTACGTCATTATACGTTTCATGTTTTCTACCGCATTCGCAATGAGAAGGTTTTAGCCGATTGTTCGTCTTATCGCGTCAATCACGCGCCACGCGCAAGTCGTTTATTGTTAGATGTCGCGTTTCTGGCAACATAACCGTCGTGGTCGCGCAGTCTCCGCGGTTCGTCGCTTCGCGTCGAGTCATGTGTTCTTTGCATTCGCGTTTCTTTTAAAGTAATTTTTAGTATTAAAACGATGTGAATCGAGTGAGTAATAAACAGTAAACTCGTTATCGCATAATCTGTGTCAATCGAGTGTAAGAGTGTTTCGAAGCGAGAAAGTTTCGATGTGTCGCGCATCTCTAACAATCAGGGGTGCAGCGATCTAATAACCGTGCAGCAGTTAACAACAATACGTAGCATGAAGATTCGCTACGCTGCTACAAAGTGAGTGAGCAATAAGTAAGCAGGTGAGTGAGTGAGTGAGTGAGAGACTGAATGACAGAGTGTATGAGTGTTGTAAAAGAGAGAAAGAGAGAGAGAAAAAAGTGTATGCGTACATGCGTGCGCGTATGTGAATGTCTGTCCCTCTTACCCTCTCCCTCCTCTCTCTTGCTCTCTTTCTCTCTCTCTCTCTCCCTTTTACGCACACACTCCGCCATACACACATCGCGTGTAGCAATCAGCTGATTACAGCGTTCGACGGTCAGCGATCCGGAATAACTTTTAATTAACATTATTTTAATTAACATTATTTTAAGGAACACGTATTCCTGATGTAATTCTAAGACATTTTCTTCTTTGCCAAAATTTTATTAAAGTATAATTTTATGTTATAAGATAAAATAGTTAGTGACTCATGCAGTGGTAATCACCTGTCGGGTGATCAGCTGCGCCCGCGCTCGCGGCGCGCCGGGCTGCTCCTGCCTGTCTTCTGTACCCGACGCGTGATTTACTAACTATTTTTGCTTATAACTCAAAAACTACGCTTCAAATCAAATTTTGGTAAAAAAATTGTCTTAGAATAGTGTCAGGAATACGTCATTTTAAAGGCGGAAGATTTTCGGGATCACTCTGTATACAGAGTGAGGCATCTAAAACAGGCCACCTGAATAACTCCGTTGGTAAGCCGAATACAAAAAAATTGTTCAGACAAAAGTTGTATGGTTTCAAGGGGGACATATGATGGTGTCATTAGTTTAATCTTGAAGAGCCACCCGAAGGTCACGTGAAGGTCAGCTCCAACTTTTTAAATGGGACACCTTATATGCTTTTGCATATTCTTGTAGCTCATCTCAAGAGCTTTCCAAAACACTACAATTATGTTAGTTTTCATTAAATACTTTCCAAGTTATGAGGCTTGAAATCATTTTTTAATTTTACATAAACCGTAAAATATCTTGTAAAATATTCATTTTTCGATTATTTTACCTTAATACTTTTATGTACAAAATAATGAGAAGAATCAATTGGTGTAAAGAAAACACATAATTGCTTCGAACAAAAAAATGTAATTGTTAATTGCAAATTACATTTTTTTGTTCGAAGCAATTATGTGTTTTCTTTACACCAATTGATTCTTCTCATTATTTTGTACATAAAAGTATTAAGGTAAAATAATCGAAAAATGAATATTTTACAAGATATTTTACGGTTTATGTAAAATTAAAAAATGATTTCAAGCCTCATAACTTAGAAAGTATTTAATGAAAACTAACTTAATTATAGTGTTTTGGAAAGCTCTTCAGATCAGCTACAAGAATATGCGAAAGCATATAGGGTGTCCCATTTAAAAAGTTGGAGCTGACCTTCACGTGACCTTCAGGTGGCTCTTCAAGATTAAACTAATGATACCATCATATGTCCCCCTTGAAACCATACAACTTTTGTCTGAACAATTTTTTTATATTCGGCTTACCAACGGAGTTATTCAGGTGGCCTGTTTTAGATGCCTCACCCTGTATATGTATGTGTATGTATACAGGGTGCGCAAAAGTCTGGATACACCTAAATATCTCACAAACGGTGCATTTTAGAAAAAAATGTTTCAGGCAAAAGTTGTTTGGTTTCGAGGGAGCCATAAGATGGTACCATTGATTTGACCTTGAAGAGTCATTTGAAGGTCACGAAAAGGTCACCTTAATTTTTTTAAATGGCACTCCCTATTTTTTATTACATATTCTTGTAGCTGATCTCGGGAGCGTTCCAAAAAACTATAATAAAATATTTTTTCGTTGAGTATTTTTCGAGTTATGAGGTTTGAATAATTTTTTAATTCTACATAAATCGTAAAATATCTAGTAAAATATTCATTTTTCGATTATTTTTCCTTAATACTTTTATGCACAAAATAATATGAGAAATCGATTGGTGTAAAGAAAACACATCGTTATTTCTGAGAAAAAATATGTAATTTGCAATTAACAATTACATATTTTTTTTTTAAACAACTATGTGTTTTTTTACCCCAATTGATTTCTCTCATTATTTTATACATAAAAGTGTTAAGGCAAGATAATCGAAAAGTGAATAATTTACTAGATATATTACAGTTTATGTAAAATTAAGAAATGATTTCAAGCCTCATAACTGGAAAAATACTCAATGAAAAAATTTTTATTATAGCGTTTTGGAAAGCTCTCGAGGTCAGCTAAAAAAATATGTAATAAAAAATAGGGGTGCCATTTAAAAAAATTGAGGTGACATTCACGTAACCTTCAAATGACTCTTCAAGGTCAAACCAATGGTACCATCTTATGGCCCGCAAACAACTTTTTCTTGAAACATTTTTTTTCTAAAATGCACCGTTTGTGAGATATTTAGGTGTATCCAGACTTTTGGCGCACCCTGTATATGTATGTATACTACTAGTCTTATCCGATTTCTCTATACATATATATATATATATATATATATATATACATATATATATATATATATATATATATATATATAATTATATATATATATATATTTTATACGATAAAATTTTATTATTTAATTATCAACTTTATATATCTGTAAAAATCAATTCTATATAGTAAACCATATATTATATTGCATGTTTTATGAATGAGAAATTACAATTAATCAGTAATTTATTATGTATATTGTTATGTATGTCACATTTCATTTTATTGCTTTAATATAACTTTAATATAACAATGTTTATTTAGGTTTAATAGATATATTTAATTAGGTCTAGAGGATTAATTTGAAAAATACAAAAATGTCTAAATTTTAAACTTCCATATCAATCGACTTCTTTGATTGAAGAGTCATTGATTCAATATCTTTTCAGATGATGATTTCTCACTGTAATTATTTTATATAACTTTTTCTTCTAAATGTAACAATTTTAAAACATCAATTATTTAATACAATTGCTTCTTTAGTATTATTATATTTCTTAACATTCTTTTAATATTAGTTCAGTTTCATTTTATATGAATAATTAATCGTCATATGTATTATGTATTATTAATATGTACCAATTGATTCGATGCTACAGATGCTGTTTGCATAGGTGAATTGGTGGTGATACCGAATATCTGTTCGAGAGGATCTTTCCAAAGAAAACCGGGAAGTGTTGTTACTATACCACTACCCGATTGATTATTTAGTAAATTTTCAAAAGATGGGATCGATGTCCTAGATGATGCTACATCTTCGTTCACAGAGGTCTAATAACAAAATTAAAAGAAATAATTGATCATTATAATGATAAGTAATGACAATTATAATTTTAATAATAATTAAATATAATATATAATATATAATTTTATATAATATATATATATATATATATATATATATATATATATATATACAGGATGATTCATATAAAGTGATCGAATATTAGCTAAAATTGAAGAGCTATGAAAAAGTTTTTATACCAAAAGATATTTGACACAAAGGGGGATATCGTATGGTACAAACAATATTTTTATAGATGAAGGCATTAAGGAGATTTCAAGATTAACTTAATTTTTTTAAATGGAACCCCCTACTTTTTATTACGTATTCTGTTTATTACGTATTCTTATAGCTTATCTCGAGAGCTTTCCAAAACACTATAATAAAGTATTTCTTTATTGAGTACTTTTCGAGTTATGAGACTTGAAATAATTTAAACCATAAAATATCTAGTAAAATATTCATTTTTTGATTATCTTACTTTAATACTTTTATATACAAAATAATGAGAGGAATCAATTGATGTAAAGAAAAAACATAGTTGTTTCGAAAAAAAAATATGTAAATTGTAATTAACAATAAACATATTTTTTCTTAAAAACAACTGTATGTTTTTTTACACCAATTGATTACTCTTTTGTATATAAAAGTATTAAGATAGGATAATATAAAAAGGAATATTTTATAAGATATTTTATGGTTTATGTAAAATTAAGAATTGATTTCAAGCCTCATAATTCGAAAAGTATTTTATGAAAAAATAATTTATTATAGTGTTTTGGAAAGCTCTCGAGGTAAACTACAAGAATATATAATGGAAAATAGAGGGTTCCATTTAAAAAAATGCACTTCCGTTCTGAATCGCCTATTTGCGGCCGGAACCAGAAGTTGAAAATATCACCATTTGATAGAGCGCATCCGATTTATAAAGAAAGTGTTTTTACTTTTTTGAAATAACCACTTCTCTAGTTTTTAAATGGGTGGTACGGATGCTCTGAAACACCCTGTATATATACAATACATATATATATTAATTTATTTATTTATTTTCTATAGCCCGCGATAATTTCAATTTATATTTAAAATAATCATAGTTTATATTTTAGTATATAATGGAATTTTTCTATTGAACCAATTTCTTCTATCGAAGAAATTTTTGTTATATATAAAGTTTTTTGATTTTTATTTATTATGAAGTCACTTATATTTTTCTTAATTTTTACAAACAAGAGATTTATTTCGTGAACTAGATGTAATTTATTATTAAAATATATCACAATACGTTTATCACCAATAATTATATAATATTTTTTAATAATATATCAAGCTGATAAAAATTACGAAAATTGTATTTCTAAAATATAAACTATGATTATTTTAAATATAAATTATATATATATATATTATATATATTATATATATTATATATATGTATATATATATATATATATATATATATATATTTATTTATTTATTTTCTGTAGCCTGTGATAATTTCAATTTATATTTAAAATAATCATAGTTTATATTTTAGAAATACAATTTTCGTAATTTTTATCAGCTTGATATATTATTAAAAAATATTATATAATTATTGGTGATAAACGTATTGTGATATATTTTAATAATAAATTACATCTAGTTCGCGAAATAAATCTCTTGTTTGTAGAAAATAAAAAAAATATGAGTGACTTCATAATAAGTAAAAATAAAAAAAACTTTATATTTAGAAACAAGAATTTCTTCGATAGAAGAAATTGGTTCAATAAAAAAATTCCATTATAAAGAAATTATCATACTAAGTTTTACAATTTAACTACTTACAGCGACTGAATTTATTTTCACATCGATCACTTTTGGATTGATATCAGGTGCACCATTGATCTGATAATTAATAAATTTATCCTGAAATATTTATAGCTATGTCAAAATATTCTTTTTATGCTTAATCATAATATAATTCCACATTTCTCTTACTCTACCTGTCCGATATATACAGAACTGTGTTGATTAGATGTCACTTTTTTTCGAGAAGCTTCATTAGTTTCGCGATCCGAGATGATAAAAGAGTCAATTGGCTTTTGCAGTTTACTAAACATCGAAGCTGTATTTGGCAGCGTATTCATTCGGGTATTTAATAACATATTATTCTGAAAAATTTTTATCACACATTTATAATTGTCAAAAAATAACCATAATATGATGACTATTCAAACATAAAGTTTATAATTGTTGTCTTCTTTAAGACATAGTGTTAAAAAGCTAAATGTAGTATTTTGTTATTGTCTGATATTAAATAATGAAATTCCATTTATTTTTTGTGCACATTATTGAAAAGTTTTATGTTTTAAATGCTTTTATGACAATTATTACTCAAAGAACTGTAGAGTTAAAAGAAATCTTTATTTCTTTTAATATTTTTTTATATAGATTTACTATATCTTGTATTGTTTTATCGGTAATTATTTACATAACAGATATTCCCCCCCCCCTTATCTATGAACATGATTTTCAGATATGTAAGGTGATATTGCTGATTAATATTCAATTTTTTTTATTTGGCGATCTTTCGGTTTTCGAAATATTTGAAAAGTGGTTTATTGACAAGGAGACACTATATGCTGCTCTTTACAATTTCCATAAAATTTGCAATAATAATGGAAAATACTAATAATAATGGAAAATATCTAATCAATATATGTAAAGTTGTTTTTTTGAATTGGACCAAAAAATTGATATAAGCAGTTAAAGATTGATCCTTTTCGTAATATAACATTTGAGCCATCACAAATATTAAGTTATCATGGCTCAGCGACCATAGCGTTAAGGTAATGTTTCATAGGATACCGTGTATCTATATACAGTATATGTAACTTTGATAATAATCGTATATCTATATGTGCTGGGATTTATTTGCAACTTTCGGCCAAAATTCTTAGCTTACGCCTACTGTTCCTCTCCTACCGCTTGTGTCTTAGCGATCGCGCCGCCGGTCGCTCGTAACTAAGGAGCGCTCAGGAACGTGCGCGTCATAAATGCAAAAAGTAGGTTTGAATTAACTTAGTTTTTTTTCGGGGTAGGGAAGCAGGATGTGGGGTAAACTCTCTCCCCTGCTCTGACATTCACTTTACAATAAAATAAAAGTTCATAATGTATATATTACTTTATATACTACTTAATATATACATAACCTAATCTAATTTAATTAAAACTTAAAAGCAAAAATTTGGGATTGATTATTTTTTCAAAAAAAGAATATGCAGAAGATAATGCAGAGTCCCTCCCTTGCTCACATTTACTTTATAATAAAATAAAACTATAAAATATGTACAGAGTGTCCAATTTTAATTGTGCACACTGATTAACAGTGCAGAAAGTGGTTAGATGAAAAAATGTTTTGGACAAAAGTTGTAGGATTCAAAAGCGGATATCTGATGGTGACATTGGTTTGACCTTAAAATAATTTATTAATTTTACATAATTTATAAAATATCGCAAAATATTCATTTTTCTATCATCTTATTTGAATACTTTTATGTATAAAATAATGAAATTAATTGGTGTAAAGAAAACACGTAATTGTTCCTAAGAAAAAAATAAGTAATTTGTAATTAATAGTTACATATTTTTTCTTAAAAACAACTGTGTTCTCTTTATACCAATTGATTTCTCTCATTATTTTGTGCATAAAAGTGATTGAGATAAGATCATAGAAAAATGAATATTTTACGATATATATATATATTTTTTTTATACATACATACATATATACACATACATACATATATACACATACATACATATATACACATACATACATATATACACATACATACATATATACATACATACATACATACATACATACATACATACATACATACATATATATATATATATATATATATGTATGTATAAAAAATATGATTATAAAAGTATAATTATTAAAAATTATTAAAAAAAGTTGAGATTGCGAGGACTTGAACTTTTCTCGCATGTAGACGACAAAATATGAAATGCGCGCCTTAATCTACTTAGCCATCGCGCTTCACGCATATTTCACCTAAATTACTGAATTTAAAATGCAACTATTAATTAATTTTCTCATAAACAAAGGCCCATGAATCCAAACCCTTTCAGTTTTGTTATACCTAATCTCTCTCTTCGAATAAACTACTCGTTCGATTTGATATTTCATAATTCTTGCCATCTTCTTGTAATAACATGATGGATTTTAATTGCAGTATATTTCGATGTTATAATAGTCAATATGTTTGCAATCGATAAGAAACAGGTGTAATATTAAATTGAATATTCTTCACAATACATGGTTCTCACAGTCATTTGGATTTACAAAGGATATGTCGATTTGTAGCGTATTTTCTTACAATTAAACCACCGCGTCAAAATTTTCTTCAATGTGAACTTGCATTTTCTACACATATTATTGTTAATTGATCGATTTTCTGTCATGAGATATAATTATTGAGTATTCACTTTATTATTAAGTTTTCATTATTATAAATTCTTTTTTCTAAGTTTATATTAATTGTTTTGTAACACGTCATCTACAATGGCAGTAGGATTAATGGATTAAAGCTGTAACTTAAGGAATTGACCAATCACAGTCAAGCATTAAGAGAATACTCGACTATGATTGGTCAATTTATTGAGTTGCAGCTTTAATGCATTAATCCTACTGCCATTATAGACGACGCTTAATAGTTATGTATTCAATAAGTAGACTCAACGTTAGAAAAAAATGGAGCTGAAGGAGAAATTGTAGAAATTGATGAAGCAAAAATAGGAAAAAAGAAAAATAATTAAGAATGACTCATAGAAGGACAAGGGATATTTGGAGTATTCAAAGATCAATAACTTAATTGTTTATTGAACTCGTAAATAATCGCTCTGTTGACACATTACTCGATGTAATAAAAAAACGGATAAAATCCGGAACAACAATTATGTCAGACTATTGGAAATTCCATAAATATTTGCACAACAAAGGCTATGTACATTCAACAGAATGATAAAATAAATTTCATCGACGCTACGACTGGTGCACATACGCAGCATATTGAACGCGCTTGGCATGAAACTCGCGCAAATATTCCTCGGTAACGAAATTCGAAAAAAATATTATATAGGATATTTAGCTGAATTCCTATATCGTCGTCATTATAATTATATGATGAACGAATTGATGTTTTTCTTGATAAAACTTCATATTAGCAACGACCTCATAAATTTCGATGACCTTGACATATCACCTTGTTACCAAGAACATGTCCCTAAGTGACAAAAGATTTTTAGCCATCGCTCGTTATTTATAATAAAATTATAAATAGTTAAAGATAGTAACTAACCGATATATAATAGTAATGTAAACCTCGTTTTGCATGGAAAACTCTATGGAAAATCTCTATAAAATTACACAATAGATTGTATAGTTTTACATTGAAAACAGGGAACACACATACACACACACAGTATAGAGTAAATCTTGTTTTATGTAAAAAATTAAAAATCCATGCGGAACCATTGAAGTTATTTTGGATAAATCTACATAAACTATACTCTCAGCAAGAGATAAGATGTAGAATAAACTTTCCTTTATTTTACAAAATACATACATGGATACAGTGAGTTCTGCCCCCTTCCCCTACGGGAGGCTCCACTTCCGAAACCTAATCCAAACTTATTTTTCATTTAAAACAAATTTGATTTAAAACATAAATAGTTTGGATTAGGTTACATCTTTTGAAAGTGTAGACTCCCGTAGGGGGGGGGGGGAGCGGAACTCACTGTATCCATGCACGTATTTTATAAGATAAAGGGAAGTTGATTCCACATCTAATCTCCCACTGAGAGTGCAGTTTATGCAGATTTACCTTAAATAAGTTTAACGGAACATTGAATTTATTTTGTAAATAACTTTGTAATAAACAATGAGCAACGGCTAAAATTTTTTATAAATTAATCAAGGATATGTTCTATATTCCTCGTTAATGGAATTTAAAAAAATATTATATAGGATATTTAGCTGAATTCCTATATCGTCGTCATTATAATTATATGATGAATGAATTGATGCTTTTCTTGGTAAAACTTCATATTAGCAACGACCTCATATATCAAGATCATCGAAATTGGTAAGGTCGGCGCTAATATGCAATTTTATCCTTTTTTTAATATTACAACAAACATGAATCCAATACCTAAAGAATAAATAATTTTGTTCAAATATACAAATTAAAATATAATAAATTATCGCCGTCCACACGTCAAGTTAAGAAAAAAGTATTTTATAGTTTTACTTTATTATAAAATAAAAGCGTAAAAAGGGAAGAATTCCGCTTTTTTCCTGCACCTCTATCCAAAAAAAAAAAAGATTTTTGTTTTGTTCAAAAGTACAATGTAATTTCAGTTATATAACCTAAACAAAATTTAATTTTAAATCGGAAATAAGTTTGGGTTAGGTTATATTTTCCGGAAGTGAAATCCTTCCATAGGAAGAGACGGAATCCATTGTGTCCATGTGTCACTTTGCAAGACGAAGTGAAGATGATTGAATGTAGAGCAAACGTCATTTCGTTTTGCAAAATACGTGCGGACATAGTGGGTTCCATAATTCTTCCATTCCTACGGGAGGGCTCCACTTCCGGAAGATATAACTTAATCCAAACCTATTTTTAACTTAAATTAAATAGAGTTTGAGTTATATAATTCAAATTTCATTGTGTTTTCATATTGTACGAAATGGAAACTTTTTTTCAGGATAGAGGTAATTGGAAAAGAAGCATCCTTTCTCCGCTCACGCATTTCATTTATCACACATAAATAAATGAATCTAACAGAGATTCATTTTGTAAAATATACACAGTATCCGAAAATTATGTGAAATTACTAAAACTTTTTTGTGTATAACTATTTAATAAATAATGACCGGTGATAAAATCGATGAGAGCCTCGTAGTGGTGTATAATTAAAATTAAATATAAAGTGCATAATTACCATATAAAATTTATCATGGAAAATTTTTATAAAGTTTTATAAATTTTTAGTATATTAAAGTCCAATTGTAAATATTTTTTGTGTAAAATATATAATTGATTATTGCATATATTATATTTAATATTAAGAGTAT